GCAAACGACTTACTTGCATACACGTTCTGCTTCAGCACCGTACAAGCTGTGACTAGCCGGCGGCCAGGCGCGGGGTCCCACCGCGGCTGGTTCAGTGAGGGAGCTGGCTAAGCCCTACACGGAGCAGCATGCTACTTACCCTTGGCCACGGAGCTATTTTTGCAACAGAGTGGGAGTTGCAAAAAATGGGAGTAACGCCTGCACTGTTTGTGTCTACTCCAGTTTTTTTCTATATTTCGCAGTCAATATGTCTGAAAACCTTAAAATACGCCTCGAAAGTTAGGGGGGAAAAAGTTTCTCAGCGTGTTTTCACCATCTCCCTTGCAGAAGCCGAGCCACGCACGGACCTACTCTCTGGAGTGCAGCCTGGTCATGAACGCAGCGCGTGGGGCGCAGGCATGGCGTCGTCCCCCGCTGCTCCCGCCCCGGCTGCCAGGGCTGTGCAACACAACGCGTGCGCTTAGCCCAAGGGCTGTGATGGGCACAGGTGGGAAGTTTGGGGTTTTTTTTTCCTCTTGGTGCCAACAAGCAGCTTTTGGGCTCTGCCTTCTGGCCAGGAGCCTGAGCGTGAAGCAATTTGGCTGCTGAACGGCTCTGTTTAAACTCTGTAATTATTCTCCAGAAGCGAGTTCCCACGTGGAGAAGCAGCAGCCCTCGCGGAGGCTTTCTCTGACTCAGCAGAATTTGCCGAAAAGTGTTGTTTGCTCACGGACGAAAGCTGCAGCGCTCCAGCGAGGTGGCAGGTCCAAAGGCTGGTGCCCGCGGGAGGCTTCGGGACGAGCCAGGTGACACTCGCTTCTGTGCCATGCGGTGACTTTTGTACTGCAGCTAATCTGGATGCTGGCCGCAGCCCGCAGCGGCGGGGGGGTGACTTTGGAACAGGGAAAAGGGAGGAAGAAGAAACAAAATCCTCCCCTCTGACGGGGATATAGACGACGGCAAAGGACTCCTGCCCTGTCAGGAAAGTTAAAAAAGGCACTGACTGTAGGAGCAAAGGCTTGAGACTGTCCAGTGCTTCCCTGCCAGCTAACCCCCAGGAGCACCCGCAGCCGCGAGAGGCACGCAAGGGATGCGGGGAATGGGATGGTGTTGGAGGCAGATTTTTCTGGAATAAACTTTGTAAGCGTCTTTTGGCCCTTTATTAGGTAACCCAGAGCTAGCTCTTCAGAGTGGTTAAGACCTCAGTTTGTAAAACAGAGCAGGATTAAAATCAGAAAGGAAGGAAGGAAGAGAAAGGAAGTGGTGCCCTCGAACCCCAAGAGCGCACAGGTAAGCGCAAGCACGCTCTTAGAGGACCTGTCGCCGGCGTTCGGGCTGACTCACACTAGCTGATGAGCTGGCCTCATTTTTTACTCGATATCTTCTTTTTTTCCATGTCTTTCCAGCGTTGCCCGCGGTGCAGAAAATTCGAGTGTATAGGCAAAGATTTAATGGGGGTAGCTCTCCTCCCTTCAAGACCCTATGCCATCAGCCAGCGCAGCACACTTTTTCAAGCCCTAACAGAGCTGTGGCTTTGTAGATGTACAGTTGTCCCACCCCTGCTTGCCCCCAGCTTGATCAGGTCGTGGTCTTTTCCTGCCTTAGAAGACCAGCTGATTTTAACCGAGCATTACATACAGAGTCAAATATTATGGAAGAACGCTTAGGCGCAGGAACAGGAAGCAAGGTAAAACCGTAGCAGGGCTAAAATGATTAATGGGACATTGCTCTCAGAGCAGCTTGGTTTGTGATATTAATACCGAGCGAATTCAGAAGGGACTACAGCAGGAGAGAAACTCCTGCACTCCCATCCCCGATGCAGGAGCCAGAGGGGGCTCGGCAGTGCGCGGGGGGCTTGGGTGCCCGAGGCATGCTTCCACCTCGCAGGGGTCATTCTGAACCTGTCTGAACTGCAAAACCTGGTGGCGTCACAAATACCCCATGACTGCGCACGTAACCAGAGAGCACATAGATATCTATCAGGAATTGCTTAAGCTTCAGAATGGTAAACTGAACAGGAAAAAATGTTTATCCCACAGGAGAAGAAGATGGAGGAGATATTTAGTATGAATGGATTTGCTTATAGAGTAAGAATAGTTATATGTGCTGTTTCATATCTCCTCCCTAAGCATTCATGTCTGGCCATCATGGGAGATGGGATGCTAGGCTGGACGGACACCTGACCCCACATTTCAATGTTCTTGTGTCGCCATCAGGAAAGGAGGAACCTGGAACCTTACTAATAGCAGCAGGTAGAACAAGTCAGACAGTGGGCAAATTTGGGGCATGTCAGTTACTAAGACTGTGGGAGAAATACAAGGAATTGACCACGCTGCCATGCTTGTGCCTGTATCACTGCTGGGTGGGACGTCACCAGGGCTCTGGAGCTTCGCAGAGTCGTGGGAAAGGTCCCACGTGTGGCCACAGGTAGAAGTCATGCTGTGTGCTTGTCAGCAGTGGAGAAGATGCTTGCAAGGCTGAAAGCAGCTGGAAAGCAGAAGCAGTCCTGTGTCTGTCGACGGAAATGCTTCTTATCCCATGGTATAGCTGTGCAACTGGAGCGAAAAGGAGAGGGCACATTCTTTGCCCAACTAGATCATAGCAGATGGTTCAGCCCAAGCCCTTGGGAGAGCTGAGCCGCCGGCAGCCTTAGGTATGCTATACTGTTACCACAGGTTTCTCCTACAGGTCCTCTGCACCAAACCCCGAGCAAAGAGTCTTCCAGTCCCGGGGAAAGAGAAGAGAGCCTCCCGACAGACAGAAAAACAGGAGTCTCCAGAACGTCTAGTTCACTTCGACCCAGCCAAGATTTACTCCTGCCACGGGCTGGTTTAACAGGTGGACCAAGCAGGCTCTGCCTGGGTGGTTCTGGGTCTTGGCTGAGCGGGTTATTCCTGCGCTCCAGGCCGTGAAGGGGACTGTGCCGGCATGCTGCACGTGGCCGGGCAGGGGCAGGCGGCTGGGAGCACAATGCCCTGCTTCTGTGAAGCCAGCAGGAGATACTGTATTATTCAGGGAACAACCTCACTGAGGGTTAGCAAAGGCATCCCTGTCTGGACAGCAGAACGCATGCAAGGCTGGTCACAACACTGCGGGAGGGAACAGAAGTGTCTTCCCCTTGGAGGGCCGAGCTCACAGGCCTGAGCAGAGGGCCTGGACAGACTGCAGTGCAAAGCTAAACTGTTCCCCCAGCCAGACAAGATGAAGGCCTGAGAGCAGAGGTTGCGTGATGCACACTTTGGTATTTCTTGCATTAAATCCTTAGCCTGGGGCTGTGCGGGGGAAATGGAGCTACAGACCAAGACAAAAAGTTAAAAAGGCTCAGCACTGCCAGTTCTATCAGAAACCTTTCGCCTGCTCACCAAGCTCACGGACTTGTGTGCCTTTCTCCTGTGGCTAAGGCAGGTACATCCACACTTCCACCTGGAATATATCCAGGCCTCCACACGAGCAAGGTGCTCCTGGCTGTGAGGGATGAGCACTTGGGTGTGCAATGACTTCAGCAGCCTTCACAGCTACCTCTGAAATGCTTTGGCATGCTCTGCCACGCGCAGAGTGCATTTCACACTGCAGATCTTCTCATGAGCGTGGGGTTTACAGACTTGCTGAATAAAAATGTCTATATGGAGAGTAAAACTTTCCTGTATCATCTGACTTCCTACAGCCTGGCAGATAGAGCAGTGACACAGCTTAGAGAGGGATGAAGAAGACAACTAATCAAAGTCGGAAGCAAAGCTGCTTGATTTGCTTCGAAATCTTGGACTCCTCAAATTATGTTAGCTGTGAGCCAGGTCCTGTATTAGATAAGCAGATGGCCTTTGTGCCTTCCCAGCTGGAGAGAGGTGGATTAAAGGAGTGAGCCTTTCCAAAAACAGCCTCGTGACTTTTGCCAGAAGGATTTCACCATGTCAGAAGTTCCCACGTCTGTTGGCCAAGGTGAACCCCAGCCAGAGGTCGGGAGCAAAGCGGGCTCCTGTTGGCGTAAGGGTTGGTGGAGCTGTGAGAGCACATCTCATCATGGGACAACCTGCAAGCACCCAAGCCCCCATCCACGAGCAGCGGGGACTGTTTATGTGGGAGAATTCAAATTGGGGATTATCAATAAACTTCTGGGCTGTACTGTGGAAAATGGATCATCGGTCCCAGATGTAATGTAACCTCCTGCAGAGAAACCCCGACCTGTGAGCTGGTGTCTGGCGATTTAAAATACTGCTGCATCCTCGATTTACACCTTGGCTGCCACACCGTACAGTCTCTGCTGTGGGATTAGCTGTGTTCCCTGCAGTATTATGGGATGGACTCAGGTACATCCTTATTTGACATCTGGAAGGAGCCCTCTGCCCTGCTGGGAGCACAGGTACCAGCAGACACGGCACCAGGCTGGTTGCTCTGTGGAGCTGAGCTGTCTCCCTACAGCTTTTGGGGCTGTTGGAAAACGTCTCAAAATTAAGTGAAAAGGGGGAACATCTCCAAATTAGGTGTGAATGCTGAATCCCTTCGGAGCAGGGCCCTGGTCTGGCCAGCTCTCCAGCGAGGGTGCAGGGACCTCTTGTGGCAGCGGTGCCAGAGAGCTCCTCTTCCCCGCTCTGCTGGAAGGTTTCCTGCAGGCCGTAAGGGCTGTGGCTCCTACCTGAATGCTTGGCCTGGTCTGATGGCAGGGCATCCGTTTGTAAGTGGGCTTGGGAGTCTCCATCTCTGAGACCAGCCCCAGTTCATTCATCTCTGCGGAGGAGGGCGGGAAAGCAGAGAAGGTGGAAAACAAGGCTCTTAAGACAGCACTGCCCTATGGCATGTCCTGTGGGTGCTGCCAGAACTGCTGCCTATGCTCGTGCTGCGGTTGGTGGGATCAAAGCCCCTGAACCACAGGCTCAGTTAATCACAGCTTACATTCCTAGGTTAAAAAATCTCCCGTCCCCAGCCCAAGCTTGGCCAGATGTTAATAATAGAAGAATAACGTTGCTGATGGAGAAGCAGGGCACCCTCACAACTAGGAAAAAGAGCTTCATCGGCTCATCGGCTCAATGGCTGATGAGTTCAACGGCCTCATTGGCTTTTCAGAGTCTTCTCACAGAGCGAGGCGGCAGGGGAGGGCTGTCAGAGGGTCAGGGTGACCATCACCCTGCCATCAGGGCTCCCTGAGGGGCACCCTCGGACACCCACCCTGCTGCTCGTCGGGAGCCAGGGCTCCTCGGGGCTCCCAGACAGCCTCTCCCCGTCACCAGGCTGTCTGCGCATCGCTCACGCCGGGTAAAAGCAGCGGGTTTCCTGGGATAGACAGCCGTGAAGGGACACAGGACACCTTTTCATTCGCCTTTAATACTGCTGGTAGCACGAGCCCTTCCCTCGCCGCCTCTGCCTTCCTCAGCAGCAGCAGCGACGCGGTACCCAGCGTGCGTACGAAAAGGGTACGTGCAGCTCCTGCCCTCAGAGCTTCATACAACACAACCCCAACCTCACTGTCCTCCTAATACCAAGGAAAGGCTCCACAGAGCTTGCTGAGCTAAAAAAACTGCAGAAGTCTTTTCATTAAAAATCAACTCTTTGCGATTTTATAGCGCAATGAATTGTTTAGTGGTGCCCCGGGCAGCCCGGCGCGTCTCTAGCTCCAGCCTCCGCAGACAGCACACCCTCTCCTATGGGCATCTTACGCTAAGCAGAAATGGTTCTGCATTTGGCCTTCTCAGTATCAGATTAGCCTACGTGATCCTTCAAGTCCTAATACATTAGATTATTTATAATCCTCAGAGCAGTCAGGTCTGCCGATTACTTCAGCCAGTGTCTCCCTGCCACTTACCACTGCAAAATTACCTTGTCTTTTCCAGCTATTAAGCAAATTTCTGCAGCATGAAAGCAGATAGCTTTGCTATCTTTTGGGAATATCTCAGCGCCGTTGTTAGGATCTGATTTAAGCGCTCGCCTCCTCAGTAAATCTGAGGCCATGTCTCTTCTCCCAGTATAGCACTTGCTGATGTTTCAGTGTCCCAGCCACAGCAGCAACTGCAATTTCCAGCTCCACATGCTTCTTTTTAAGCAAAGAGTAACTAGAAGATTTCATCCCAAATTAATACCTCAAAGGAGACGCAGACTTTGACATTAATCAGTGTGTACGTGATGACTCACACTGTCTGCAAAATAGACGTAGGGACTGTGCAGCATCCACGCTTCTGGTGGCGACATCAAAAAGCAACAAGAGAATCATCAAATTATGGGAAGGAGAAAAAACCGTGCAAGAGCAGCATTAAAGGATGGAACAAAAGAAACCGTGGGTACAGGATGCTGAATTCCCACAAGTCCTTGACAGCAGAGCTACGCTGTCCCAGACACTGGAGAGTTTTCTCTCGAAACCGCATGTAGGTCAGGGGGACAGAGGAGACAATTGCTGTGGGCACAGAACCAAACTGCTTTTCTTGGCAAGGTGCTGGGGCATAGAAAGGAGGTGCGTGCCAGCAAAGGCCTTCTTGCTCGCTCAGATCGCAATGGGATCCAGCGGTGAGCGAATGAGGGGGTCTTCTATGTCCTTACCCGGGGTCAGGCCTAGCTCCCTGGCACGGCGCAGCCCTGATGGCACGCGAGCTGCACTGGCACCGCACCCTGGGGATACTTTGGGGCAAAGGGTTTTCAGCCTGGTGCCGCCGGCGTGGAGGACGTGGGGCACGGAACACGTGTCCTGCTCCGGGTGGGAACGTGGAGATGGGACACGCGGGGTGCAGCTCCACAGCAGCGCTTGCAGCCAGCTTTTACCCTAGTCTTCATGTCCGATGTGCAGATGCCAAGGGAAGAATGACATATACCCCACTACCACCCATTTCTCCCTCTTCCCGAGTCATGCACTGAGGAGAAGGACTGCCCTACCCCTCGGAGGTGTGTGTGTGTGTATGTGCGTGTGTGTGTGTGTAGATGTGGGAAACGCCAACGCCAGCAGTGGAGACAGCTCCCTCAGCCCACTCAGCTCTTTCTGCTGCTACAGCCGTGCATGGCAATGATGTGCCGGGAGGGAAAGCAAATCCCGGGGTGTCACATAGTCATGCACATGAGTTTTAGTGTTTATGTGGCAGAAAGAGTAAGGAAATGAAACTAAAGCACTTAATGGGTAATTAATAGCAAAACACTCTCACCTTGTAATTAGCTACCTTCGTTAGGACGAAGGTAAGGGAAAGGAGCATCTGTCAGGGATGAAGGAAGGGTGACTGAGGCGTGCTGATGTGCTGTCGCGTGCGGGTTTAAGCGGTCCCCTGGTGGCTTCCCTGGCGCCACCTCTCCGGGCAGCCCTGGACGCCCCGGGGCAGGGCTGCTGGGAGCCGTCCGGGGCCCTCGGGCATCGCTGAGGGCCAGAG